TAACTTTATAATGCCGGCATATCCAGTGAACCTTGGGATGTCATGGTAACCTTGCCTGTTGCTGTTTTGAATGGACAACAATTTTAGGGAGACTGAGACTGAGGCCCCCAGACCTCACTGTTAAGGTCTCATGGAGTGAGAGCTGTGGTGAGGGTGGGGTTGGGGAGGATCCCTCCCTCCTGAGCTCCTAACACTGACCCCCCCCCCCCCCCAGGATGTACTTTAATGCTAAGGCTAAACAGAATGAACTAAAATATCATTTGTTAGAGAAGCAAGGAAACTAATCAGGAGATGCTATGCGTGTGTCACAGCCATCTGAGAATACATTTTATTGCTGACATCACAGCAGGTGTGTGCCCAGGAGGGGCAGTTAGAGAGAAGCAGGACTTTTTCTGACACTTGGCACACATACAAAAAAAAAAATTCTTTGATCTCATCTCAAGTTCTGGAAGTTAGGAAGTTTCTGTTATGAAGCTGGACATAGCTAAGTGTATAAGGTTTAGGATTCTAAAGCAGGTTAAAATATAATCCATGCCACTCACTAAACAGTTGAGCCGTCTGCAAAAGGACTCACAGCATTCATCAGGTGACTTATTTGTCCCCTATGTAAACAGTTGGTTTATTCAATTTCCCATTATTTCAAGTTTCAAGTAGCAGGTTTTTAAAAAATTATCTATCTATCTATCTATCTATCTATCTATCTATCTATCTATCTATCTATATCTTTTGGAACTCACTCTGCAGACCAAGCTGGCCTTGAACTCAGAGATCTGTTTGCCTGGGATTAAAGGTGTGTACCACCATTCCCAGCTTTTTTTTTTCTTTTTTCTTTTTTAAAGACAGGGTCTCACTATGTAACCTACTACTTGTTATGTAGACCAGACTGACCTTGAACACAGAGATCTGCCTGGGTCTGCCTCTGTGCTGGAACTAAAGGCATGTACAATCACAGATAGTGTCAAGAGGCAATTTGAAAACAAAATTATTTGAAACTTATTTAGTGTGTGTACAGTCAGGTACCCCTTCTAGAGTTGGTCCTCTCCCACCACTATGTCGGTCCCCAGTGTAGAAAGCAGGTTAGCTGGCTTGGTGGCAACTGCCTTTACCCACCGAGCCATCTCCTTGGCCCCCAGGAGGCTGTTTTAAAGCATGGCTGCCTAATATTCATGGTATGACATAATGATCCAGGACAGCATGGCTGTGGTTCCCAGTGGAGGGTCTCATGATGCCACTCCACACAAGAGCTGTCAACTCCTTTTAAAAAACAAACTCCACACACATTCAGTTTTCCCTAACGTGCCTTTTCTGTCCCGTTCAGGATACTATGCAGCACCGAATGTCCTTCAGTTGGGTTGGGCTATGTTTTCCTCTTGGATAGGCAGTGATTGTGAGTTGTTGAGAGGAAAACTACAAAGGCCAACTTCTGTCCTCACATCTGGTCAGTCTGTGGTCACTGTGACGTTAGACTCTATGGCTTTGCCAAGGCAGTATATGAAGCTCCAAGACCATAAAGTCCTCTTCCTTCTTCCTACACTTAGTTACTTGGTGGGATGCTGCTGAGTACAGCCTGCAGTCTGGGTATAAGGGACCATGTTTGTCTTCCCTATAGCAGACAGAGTATCTGTATAGACCACCTGCAGTGTTCCTGCGTGGGAGCTTCCTTTCTCTGCCCTCATTTTTTAAACCACAGATTCACATCCACATATTCTATTGGACTTTTTAAATTGGGGAGGGGTGTCCACAACTCAACCTATGCTGTTTTATTGCTTAGATTGTTTCAGTTAAGCCAGAGAGAGCTCCTTCAGCTGGCACCTTTGCCCTCTGTGCCCAATGTTTTGCTCTCTGAATACTTAACTAACTTTAAAATTATATTTATTTTAATCTTAAGTGTGTGTGACAGGGAGGGAGGGAGGGAGAGAGAGAGAAAGAGAGAGAAAAAGAATGAGAGAGAGAGAGGGGGGAGGGGACGGGAGGGGAGAGAGAGAGAGAGAGAGAGAGAGAGAGAGAGAGAGAGAGAGAGAGAAATTGCATGTGTATGCAAATCACTTACAGGAGAGGATTTCTACCCCTCTTGTTACGCTAGGGGTTTGCAAACAAGTTTCCTAAACTGTTCTTAGTTTGTGAAAGAGTTGGGTGTAGAACTATGCTGTCTGAAGTAGACTGTACCAGACTGTACCCGGCATCAGGTTTTGCAGGGGTGCTGCAGTGGTCACTGTTGTCACTGCTGTAACAGAACACCTGATAAAAAGCTGCCTAAGGCAGGAGTTGTTTTGCTTCATGGTTTCATGGTGGGAGAATGCACCACAAGCTGGGCTCCTTGTTTGGAGCTGGGAGCTTGTGGCCAAGCATGCTATGTCTTTCAAGATCAGGGAGCAGAGCTGGGACAGGAAGTGGGAGTGGGTTATAAATGTCAAGGTCCACCCACCAACATCTACTTCCTCCAGATGGTCACCACCTGCCACAGCTCTGCAACTTCACCACAGCACCATCAACTGGCACCCAAGTGTTCACACACACGAGCCTCTGGGGACCACTGCACACTCAACATCCCTTTCCCACATCTGCACCTTATACTTTGAAACGACATAACAGTGCCTGCCAAGCTGGACCAGGGATGAGAACGCTTCTCGGTTGGAAGTCACAGGTGATGTAGAAAGAATGTGGAGGTGTCCACTTTTGGGGACTAGCAAGAGTTGTAGGCGTCCTTTGACCCCGCTAATGGGCATAGTACCCAGTATGTAGCATGGCTAAAAACTGGCTACTGCTGGAACATTCTAGTCTAGGTTGTCTCATCCTGTTCATTGGCATAGAAGTTTTCCTTACATTAACTACCGCCCCCTTTTTTCCCTCCTTTTTGTTGCACACAGTGAATGCATGTGTTTGTGTGGATATGTGTTTGAGGCCAGAAGGTATTTTCCTCCACCACTCTCCATTTTATTTGTATTTGTATTTCTTTTTTTAAGATAGGACCCATTACTAAACCTTAAGTTAATTGATCTGGCTATGCTGGCTAGCTGTGTAAGCCTCAGGGATCTACTTGTTTCTGTTCCTTAGCATCGAAGTGACATATACATGCAGGTGTGTCCCGAATTTTCTGTGGGTTCTGGGGATCAGAACTCAGATACTTATGTTTGTGTGATGGACACTTTTATAACTGAGACATCTCCCCGATTATTACTAACTATTCTCCTTCGATTCTTCTTCCTTCTCCTCTTCCCCCCTCCTCCTCTTCCTCTCCCCCCACTTTTCCTTCTTCTTGAGCCAAGATCTTATTCTGTAATCCAGTTTAGCCTCAGACTCACAATAACTCTTTTGCTCCAGTCTCCTGAGTGCTAGGGGTATAGGTGTGAGCCATTGGGCCTGGCTCCCCGTCTTTTCTCACCCTTGATATCAGACAAAAGGCAAAGAAGTGATCTTTCATTTTCTCTTTAGCCATGGGGTCTCATTACAGGCTTATTATAAGTCCCAGGCTTATCCTGAACTCCTGGCCTGAGCCTCTTACCTTAGCCCCATCTATCAGGTGGGAGCCATCAGACTTGGCTTTCCTTTCTCAGTCCCATTTTAGCAATGAAGGGCTCACTATTGCCACTCAGGCTTGTCCTGAACTCCTGGGCTCACACGAGCCTTTTACCTCAGTCTCTTGTAGCTCCAACTGTAGGTGTGAACCACCGTGCCCACTACTGCAGTAACTTTTTTTTTTTTTTTTTTTGTGATGGCTACCCTTAATCTCTAGCAGATGAGGAGACTGGGGCCCATGGATGTTAAGTGACACAGCTGGTTAATTACTGAATGAGCAAACCAAAATCTTTGAAAAGTGGTGCAGCCTACAAAGGAGGCCCAGTTTGTTAGGGGTGGGGGAAGCTTCCAGTCCAGACCCCTTTAAGGCTTCGTGCTTGATGGGCTGGCTTTGCTCCGCTGATGAGCAGAGTGAAGAGGCATTATTGTATGTGAAACAGACACTTTCTTCTCCTCTGTGTTTACTGTGAGGACTGACTCAAGAGACTCCTTGAGAGGCAAGGCCACAGTGAAACTCAAGGATATTCTAGTTTAAAAAGCAATAGGCTATTTCTTTTCCCAGGTCCCTTAGCTCTACCGGGAAGTGGAGCCTCTTTGAAGCTGCCCATTTCTTTCTTAGCCATACCACTAACATCTGTCTTACTAGGACAAGCCCTCCTTTGTAACTCCAATGTCTGGTTTCTGATTCTTTGCCCTTGGGAGGAAGGAGCTTTTAGCTTTTATTCACACAGAGCCTCAGCAGCTTCCTGGACTGCACACAGAGTCAGGTTAGACCCAAGTCAGGCTTGGCTTGTTTGGAGACAAACTCAAGGGAGTAGCCTTCGCAGCAAGGCAACCACAGAACAGATGCCAATTTATTCAAAGTTCAAGGTATCAATACAGGCACTGTTCTGAGAAAGCAAGATAGGATGTTTACTTATGATAAATAAACATTAGCCCTTTCCCTCCCTTAGGGGGCCTTGACATCTCTTAATGGCATTTTAAATTATTTTGGAAACTCCTAGGAGAATTTTAGTCCATTCATCGTGTAAGTGGAAAGGGCCTCCACGGATGAGGGTGGAGATACATGAATTTTTAAGTGTCTATCAGACTTGAAATTCAAAATAAACAAGCTAAAGGGCACGTGCACATGCCTGAATATATAGCACTCTTGAAAAAGAGAGGTTTAAAGACTGCCAATGGGGAAGGGAAAAAACCCCCAAACGTTATTGATTTAATTTCCTTCTAAAATGAGTAGCAGGTGCTCAGATGAACTGAGTTAAAAAAAACGAGATGTGTGTGCGTGATCTCTGTGTGAGTGTGTGTGTGTGTGTGTTTGCGCGCGCGCACGCGCATACATGGGGGGATTGGTAGGTCTACTGACTGCCAGGAGCTTAAAAACATAAGATGCATTTTTATTTAAGTTTTTTTTTCTCCCTTGCGGATCAGGTCTCAAGTTTTAATTTAATTTGGCTTGAAGAACTGACCCACTGAAAGCTACTGTCAGAGCAGGAAGAAACTACCTGAAATTTCTGCCACAACGTGCTCAACACCCTGGGAGGAAACCCCCAGGGGGAGGGACTACTGTATGAAGGGTGCCAGGTTTGTGACCGAATTCCAGGATTTGAGAGGGGGAGTTTTAGGAATGGACTTCGTAAGTTATCCCTGATGATCTTGTAGTAAAGATCATGTGACCGGTGCAATTGTCCCAGCTTAGTTTAATGTCCTGCCTTGTGTGTGTGTGTGTTTTGCTACGTAGCTAGCCCCAGATATACTCTGTAGCACAGGCTGGGCTAGAAATCATGATCTTCTTGTCTTAATGTTCAGAATTCTGAGATAATCAAATGGAATCACGATGCTCTTGTTAACAGTCTTTGAGCAAGGGGTCTCATTTTTATTTCTCGTGAGACTTTTCACATCATGGAGTGAGTTTTGAATGGCTGTGATATTCTGGGAAGGGCACAGGGACATGCGTCATTGTATATGACGTATATATGCGGGGCCATTTCTGGAGCTTGTAGTAGAGTTTAGTGGTCCAGCTGTGCACAGCACACAGGAGGCCCCAGAATCAATCCACAGCATGGAAAATAAAAGTCAATTTTTCTTTCTTCAACATTTAGATTGGAAAAAAGAATTGCAAGGCTTGAGAGACAGGCAATCTTGGAGACGTCAGTCATGACTAACATCTTAAGACTCTGAAATGTTTTAGTCACAAGGTAATTCGGCATTGTCTTAGATGTGCCAGTACACGTGGCAGAAGGGCACGTCAAACAATGACTGGCTTTCTCTCTCTTGGTGATTCACCTGCTACCTCTTTAAGAAGTACAATGTGTGGCGTAATCCTACGCACTGGCAACAGGAACAGGAAGCAAGTTAGCTGCCTGGTCAAGCGAGTATCCCAGAGGATAGCGGTCGGCTCCTGTCCCCCATCATTTGAATCCTCTGCACCCTACATTCAGTGTAGATGAACTGAATAGCTCCTTTAAGACCAAAGAGTCACGTGAGGAGAACGTGCAAACAAAACAGCAAGCCTTTCCTTTCTCTATCACAGAAATGTAATCTGTGTCTTTACGAGGCAGTAAGAATCTAGAACTTCAACCTTGGCCATCCTCGGGGATGCTTCCCCACTTGGCCAGGTGTTTCAGCTTTTATTTTTATTATCTGTTTTAAATCTCAAAAGAGCCAATGGTAAACCTTATGCTTCAATGAACTTAACTAGGTCTCTGGATTCAGACAAGACAGGTCTTTCTGCCTATACATGAAAAGAATTCTTTCTACCTTTGGAAGGGGAGGAATATGTTTCGACCTTTTTGATTCTACAACTAGAAGAATAACTTGTCCAGAAATAAATGCTTATTCTGTTTCCCCTAACCCCCCAAATCAGAATTTTAAATGAAAACAGACTCTCAGCAGTATATAACATAATGGGTCAGAGGAACTAGAGAAGGCAAATTCTTTATTTTTGATACATGTTTCCCTGCTCACTTCATTTTCTCTATTTTGATCCATAGAGCCCTTTAACAAGTCAGAAGTAAGAGGGAAAGTGCATTCAGTTGGGGAGAGGGAGGCAGTTAAGACAGGTGCCTCTGGCTAAAAGTCTAGTTAAGAAGGCAGAGCAGCTCCCAGAATCCTCTTTACTGTGGAACTGTCTTTTCTCAACTGTATTTTTTTTCTTTCAAGTCTTAGTCTCAGGAGTGGGTAGAACAGAAAGCCTTTGGATTACAAAGCACCGGTCATGGCGTAGGTTAGGAACAAACATGGGGATGAGGTGGGGTTAGCTCATAAAACCAGCCTTTATCTTGCAGGCTGAGAGACTAAGGAGTCTCTTTTGGGGAATCTGACAAACTCTTGAAGCCAAATGTGACCTGAGAGGCTCCTAACACTAGTAGCTCTGGTGAATTACCCCAGAGCAAATCTACAAATAACAAGCCCCAGCTCCAGGCTCCCAAGCCCCAGCCCCAGGCTCCCAAGCCCCAGCCCCAGGCTCCCTGTGTCCCACTTTTTGTTTGCTAGCTTTATTGAAATATTATACACATACCAAACAATTGATTCACTTAAAGCACAGGATTCAGTGTTTTTCAGTATACCCAGAGTTGTGTGACAACCACACAATCAATTTAACAATGTTTTCTTTGTCACTTGAGATGACTGTGCTCATTAGCAATCACTTTGTTTTTCCCAAGCCCTTTTTTAGCACTAGGTAACAGCCAATTTACACTCTGTCTCTGCAGATTTACAGTGGCACACTTTTAAGCCTCAGCTGACAACTAAGTATTTTAGAAACCTAAGAAAAGGCACTATTGTAAGAGAGGGGACAATACAGGGGGAAAAAAAGCTAACTGGAAAGTGGTAAGATTATAAGGGAGAAAGAAATGCACCTCCAACCCCACACCCCAGTATTGCTTAGATCCTCAGTGGAGTTATTCAACATCTGAAATAAAAGAAGGCACCTAAACAAGGAAATAACTGGGACAAGAGAGGTCTTGGAAAGTGAAATATGGTAGCAGGACTGACTCAGTGACAGGCTGCATAAGAAATCAAGGTTATTACACTTAACAATAGATACACTTAACAATAGATACACTTAGCAATAGATATATTTAACAATAGATACACTTAACAATAGATATACTTAACAATAGACACACTTAACAATAGATACACTTAGCAATAGACACACTTAACAATAGATACACTTAACAGTAAATACACTTAACAATAGATACACTTAACAAAGATAAGATGACAGGTAGGATCAATCAAAAGAAGCAAGGTCAGAGCTTGGCATTTTCCAACACGATCATAATGAGAGAAGAGAAAAAAACAGACATGAGGACATCAACAAGATTGCTGACTACAAAAGCCAAGTCAGACAAAAAAGAAAAAATAGAAACGTCTCACCCTGGAGGTCCTGTGGGTAGACTGGAAAGGGACAGTGTACTTTACTTTGGGTGACAATAAGCCTAACAACTCCATGCACTTTATCAGAAAACAGAGAAGGTCTCTAAGCTTTAAGAGGGAGAGAAAGTAGACCACACGTATAAGATCAGGAAACAGTAACTTCAAACCCCTTATCAGGCCAGGTAGCCTGAACATAGTACAATAATGCTCTCAAAGGCCTTAAGGAAAACTACCCCCAATAAGACTCAAGGCCCTGCTAATCCAGTACATATGAGTTAGCTTTGCATAAAGACCTTTCAGATATACAGAATCTCAAGACTTCCTATGAGCTCTATCTCAAAAAGTGACTGGAGGATGGGCTCCGTAAAAGTCAAGGAAAAGTTAAGAGGAAAATACAAAAACCATGACGTAACAGAGTCGACTTCAGAGAAGATGGGAAACCCAGAGTAGATGTGAATGATGTCCTCAGAATTGACAGGTACCAGGTACAAGGAGCAGACTGGAGTAGTCCAGAAGTCTCTAGGAGAAGCGTTCCAGGGTATGAACCTGATACAGTCTATTTGAGCCACACAGGCATGATGGGAAGCTTGAGATAAGACAACTAAGAATAGAACAGAACCTCTTTCGGGGGCAGGGGTGGTAGAATACAAGGCAAAGTAGCGAGGCCTTACAACAGGGCAGAGTTGTGAGTGGCATTTGTGACATAGTAAGGACGACCAAAATGATGACACGGTTCTAGTAGAGCACAGAAGAGATAAGCTGATTGTTATGGAGGTAGGGATAATGAGGGGGCTGTCCTCATCCAAAGTGGCCCACGCCTGTGGAAACTGGAGGACAAACCCTGCTTGCCCAGACACTATTCATCCCTCCTCAGTCCCTAGTGGCAAGATAATTTTGTTTATGGAGTAGGAAAGAAAATTGCTAAAAAGAAAATCATACTCAAAAGGTGGCAGCCTTTGGCGAAGATATGAAGGCTGGGAACATATGGTTAGTGGTTTGTAGAATAAGTTGTTGGTTACAACAACTGTAAGAGACAGAGGACCAGGACACCTGCTGCTGGCTAGTGTTTTCTATACATGACAGGGAAGCTGTCTGGGGTTCAGTTAGACACTAGGTATTATATTAAGGAAACAGCGATGTTGGAGAGCTGGCTTACCAGGTAAATACTTATTGAGAAGGCCTAACAATCTGAGTGTGTTCTCTGGAACTCACATTAAAGTGCAGAAGAAAAATCAACTCCATAAAGTTGTCCTCTGACCTCCACACCTGTGACATGGCAAGTGTGCCCACCCCCTGCTTCATACATACAATAATAATACTAAAAAAATAAAATAATAGGGTAGTAGAATTAAGAATAACTGGTTTCACCTATATTCTAAAGTAGTTAAACAATTTTCATAATCAGAAAATGAACCAATATAACTTAAAAGTGTACTCTAAATACTTGTCCTTATATTCACCAATAAGGGGAGTTCTCACTCCTCATCAAAGAAGCTTTTTTTTTTTTCCCCTTTGTAACACAGACTCTGTTACAAAGATCCCAACTGGTTAAAATGCAGAGAGAAGGTGACCATGGGGTGCCCAACTCTACTCGATACACCTACAACACAGCCCTTACACCTAAGGCCTAGCTAGGGAACACTGTGGGGAGAAGGGGGGAGGGGAGGTATTGTAAGAGACATAAGACCAGGACACTGCTGCTGGCTAGAGCTTTCTATACACAACAGGGAAGCGGCACCCTTGCAATCTTGACAATGGAGCTGCTGAAACAAGATCTTCCCAAAGGCAACGAAGGGTGATATGTCAACAAGAATGGGGGACATCTCACAAGGGTCCACCTCTGGATGGAGAGCTACAAGCTCTCTCATTGGCTGCTGTGAGACTCAGTATTCAGGGAGGAGCTTCTGATAAGTGATCCAATCCCAAGTGGTTCAGCATTAAACACATGTGCACAGTCACAAAACTCAGTATCATCAGGTTGCGCGTGTCTATACACACACACATACACACACACACACACACACACACACACACCAATAACAACTAAAGAGGAAGGCCTGAATTTGAGAGGGTAGTGGGGGCACTGGAGGGGTGGAAAGGATGAAAGTACAGTATTCATACGTGAAATCCTCAAAAATATTAAAAAATTAAAAGAAAATTAATTCACAAATAAGTCCACTTCCTACTTCCCCTCCCACCCGTTCTCTCTGGTTTTTGAGACAGGGTCTCACTATGTAACCCTGGCTGGCCGGGAACTTGCCATGCAGACCAGGCCTCAGAGTTGCTGATCTTTTTGCACTCCAGGTGCTGCGATTACAGACCTGGCCAGCCTTATTTCTTATATGAAGCCAGTTCACGGTTATCTCTATTAATAGAACCCAACCCTTTCCAGGATGTCAGGGAGAGATCCTGTACCAGAGCGGTTTTCTTTTCGTTTTGTCACCACGTGGATACTGAGATGACTATAATGAAACATTCTAAGGATTATTAATCGATCAAGCTAATGATTTTGCTTGCTTTCTCCCCTCAGTACCGTGAAGATTTTTCTGGAGTCAGAGCAGCTCAATAAAAAGAATACTTTGTTTTGTTATCAATTCTGAGTTGAGAAAAAATAAATCTCGGAAGGTCATTTTAAATTTCCAAAGTCAATGTTACTGGAACCAGAAACCCCTTCGTCTTTTTAAAATTTGCAGTGTGAGACATTTGGGTTATGGCAATGTTCGGTTTAATGTTTGCAAAACGCGACACAACTGGCTCTCTCTGACAATCCTTGAGATGTCTCACAAACATGCCGAGAGCCCAGCTGATGTAAAGAAATATAGTATTCATGTCCTGGGCTACAGAGACCGATTAGTTGGTAAAGCATCTTGTCACACAAGCATGGGGACTGAGTTTGATTCACAGACCCGTCCTGCACTGTTACAATCCCAGCACTGGGGATGTGGAGACAGGAGAATCCCTGGGTCCTGGCAGCTAGCCAGCTTAGCCTACTTGGTGAGCCTCAGGTCCCAGTGAAAGAGACCCTGACTCAAAGAACAAGGTGGATGGTACCTGAGGAAAAACGGTATCTGAGGTTGCCCTCATGAACACAAATGTATATGTGCACCCACATACCCACGAGGCTTCACACACTATTAACTGTCAATTAGGAGGAAAGAGGCAAACTACTGGTACCTAATTATATGATTCAAAGCCATAAAATCCTAAGTGGTGTTTGGATAACTCCCAGTTAAAATGAATTCGGGTAACATTGAAATGTCTCCAAGATCTGCAAGATATTCAATCTGTAGGATGTACAGTATCAAAATGACTCCACTGAGTAGGCCTTTAGTCTGAGGGCAGAGACTTATGGGTAGTACTATAGCTGGTGTGCTCTAAACATAAGGCACACAAAGCTTGCTTCAATAAAACAAAACAAAACCAGCCCTGTGTGGTGTCAGACACCTTAAATCCCAGCACTTGGGAGGAAGAGGCAGGCGGGTCTCTGTGAGTTCAAGGCCAGCCTCATCTACACATAGGGAGACCCTGTTTCCAACAACAACAACAACAGCAACAACAACAGCAGCAACAACAACAGCAATAGCAGCAACAACAACCACTGCCACCAGCACCTCTAACATCCTGGGTCTTCACACCTTCCTGTTTGGCAATGTTGCTACTCCATAGGCAGAGCCTTTGGCATGGCTAATAGTCCCTCAACTTGAACTGAGGCACTGGAAACTCTAGATGTGCTACTCGAAAACACAGCATTGTGGCATTTCAGAAAACATACAAGGTCATACAAGTAGGAAGGTCACTTACTCTCTCACCAACCCTCACACCCTCTTTTTCCTTTGCTCCATTTTCTTCCTTCAAGGGTACACGGAGGGAAGACATAACATCTGAAGCCATGGCAGCCATCTTGTGATGATGGGGTAACAAAATAGCAAAAAAATCAAAATGTGAAGGAGAGCAGAACAGAATGACGGGAATACCCTGGATCTTTGAAGATGTCAGTGGGCTGACCTCTATCTCTCAACTTCATCAAGTAAGTGACTAATACAGATCGAGCCAGGGTCCCTCAGTGTCTCTTTACATGTCATGACATTCATGGGACATGAGGTTTGTACTGTCCTTTGGGGCATACAGAGGAGAGGGACTCCTGACACCACTGGTGAATGACCCTCAGGGCTTCAGCTGTCTTGGACTTCCCACCTCCCCAAGATTTCCTGTGCCTCGTTTCCACCATGCCAAGACCACCCACATCTCCTGTGCCTGGCCAGCAGGCCTCATCACTGGGAGATCCAGTTTAAGGCCTACTTTCTTGTTGCCTGGCTGAGAGCCTTTGTAAGGCTAAGTAGTATAGTGACGGTTCATCCAATGTCTCCTACAGCCTCTGCCCCACACAGATGAGCAGCTAGCCTGGCCCAAAACTAGAACCCACCACCTCACTCTGGCTGTGCTTCTTGCCACTGAACTCATACTCGTCTTGTGAATCTTCGGTGCATTTTCTGAAGCATGGTGAGGACATCTCATCAGATCAAAACAGAAGCACTCCCACATGACACCCCTGAGTGTATATTTATTGTGACTGAATAATCATAGATTTGAGAGGATAAAAGTTTCATCAGTATGTATGAATTCATTTCATATAACTTATGATTTTTTTCACATGGTGTTAGGTTTGGGTGTGCAATGTTCTTGGTAAGAATTGATTTTTATCTATGTTTCTATCATGTGTGTTTCGACTTCTTTTCTACATCTAGAACACATACCTTACAGAGATAACAGATCTATTAAATAAAATAATGTGTGTAAAGGTTTAGGCAGAGTGTGTGATATACAGTTGGCACCTAATAGGTGTGTTTTAGGATTATCCTAAACGAGAATTTGAAAACTGAACGTTATTTACTGGTAATCATAACTGACAGGTTGAAAATTTATCTTCCATATCAATACAGCGGCTTTATAAACGTTAATAAGTGCTATAGAAAGAGTAAGCTCACAGCATCTCTCAGCCATAGAAAAACTTGCATCTGTAGCTAGCTCCCAGGCAGCCAACTGCCTGTGTTGGCTCAAGTTCCATCAAGGCTGTGTGCTTTTCAACAAAATATCCCATTCCGTGCTTGTCACAGTTCCTACGGAGAGCTTTTCTCTGAATTCCTTGTTTATTATGAGCCATTTCTGGTCATGAAGGCAAAGACATGAATTTTAAAGACTGTTTCAATTACAGGATGATGCACGCAATGAATGACAACCAAGCAAGATGGGGACTGTTCTATTTCTCAGCCCCTGGGCTGTGTGTGCCGGAAAAGTCAGACATAATAGCTACAAGCACTGTTAGAGGCAAGCAACAAGAACACACTTTCTTGAAACACAATGTTTATACGGTGACGTTTCCATTTTGGGGTCCTGTCCCACTTCACTCAAGCTTAAGTACCTCAAATGTATTTAGGTATTTAAGAAATATTATCAATTGTGGCAAAGACTCCAAGTGCTACTATTAGGGATATGCAGTCTTTATACTTTGGCACTTGGTCTAATCTATTCAGAGAGAAAAGAGAAGCAAAAAGTCACAGCCACAAAGGCACAGTTCCTACACCATGGAACCTCAGAGGAAAAAAGAAAACATCCTTAGAAAACATGGTGTACGGCCTGTTTTGTGTGTCAACTTGACATAAGCTGGAGTTATCACAGAGAAAGGAGCCGCCCTTGAGGAAATGTCTCCATGAGATCTAGCTGTAAGGCATTTCCTCAATTAGTGATCAAGGGTGGGCGGGCCCATTGTGGGTGGTACCATCCCTGGGCTGGTAGTCCTAGGTTCTATAAGAAAGCAAGCTGAGCAAGCCAAGGGAAGTAATCCACTAACCAGCACCCCCCCCCCAAACCCCCATGGCCTTTGCATCAGCTCCTTCCTCCTAGTTCCTGCCCTGTGTGAATTCCTGTACTGACTTTCTCTGGTGATGAACAGCAATGCGGAAGTCTAAGCTGAATAAACCCTTTCCTCCCCAACTTGCTTCTTGGTCATGATGTTTTGTTCAGGAATACAAACCCTAACTAAGACACATGGGGATGGAAATTAACAACTCAGTGGATAGATTAGAAGATAAAGCTGAGTAAATCTTTCTGACATAGTGGGAGAAAGACGAGTGGAAATTAGGATACAATGTAAATAAAATTGGAGGACAAATCTAGAAGATTCCTACATGCATAAGAGAAACTGTGGGGAGCCGAGTGGTGGTGGGGCACGCCTTTAATCCCAGCACTCGGGAGGCAGAGGCAGGTGGATTTCTGAGTTCGAGGCCAGCCTGGTCTACAGAGTGAGTCCCAGGACAGCCAGGACTACACAGAGAAACCCTGTCTCGAAAAACCAAAAAAAAAAAAAAAGAGAGAGAGAAACTGAGGGAAATGAAAGAAAAAATGTCAGGGACCACCCTCCCCCTGCAGTCCTTTCTCTAAAACCACTGGTGTGCAGACTGAAGAGAGCTTCTGACTGCTCAGCACATCAAATGAGAACAAGCCAGCACAGAAGGCAATACCTCAGGAAACCTGACACACTGGTGGGAAAGCAAAGTGAGTGTGCATGGATAGAATGAAAGACTAGGCTATCCAGGAAAACCAGGTGTCAGCGCGCGGGGGTGGGGGTGGGGTAGGGGGGTTGGGGGATATACTGCAGATGAGAGGTGCCTAGGGTATTCAGAAGGATGGAGAAAGAAGGTCCCAAAGTAATGGCCATAGAAGCCACTAGTCCAGACTGGGACAGGTCAGAGGCTCTGAGAAAACTTCCATAGCCAATGACAGGACAATGTAGAGAGCTTGAGGTTCAATAAAGACAAATATATTAAAAATCAATAAACCAGGACTAAGAATGCGCCTCAGTGGTAGAGCAAATACTTGCCTCCTTGTGTAAGATTAAACAAATAACAAAGCAAACTGTACAATTGCTTATTTGGGAGATGGGAGATAAAAAACCACCACCACCACTTCCACCACCACCACCACCACCAACAACAACAACAACTACAAAACCCCCAAACAACAACAGCATAGTAGGTTCTATGTTCTGCAGATGTGGAAACCTTAGACCCAACTGACAGGTTTGAAAATTTTTAGAAAAAAAAATTCATCATAACCCCCATCTTTATTTTATAAGCAATGCAGTGAAAGAGCTATTTATACAGAATTTACATCCTGTCAGATTTCATATGTACCCCAGGGATGATATAAAGTATACAGAAGGGTGTGCACAGGCAGTATGCAAACACTGCATTTCATACAAGGGATGTATATAAGAGTGTCCATAGATTTTGGTATCTGGAATTCCAATCCCTTTCAGATATCAGCATGTATAATATGGCATTTGCAATGTTATGACAAATACTCAAAATTGACCAGAGAGCATAATCATGACAGGAATATTCTACAAGATAGGAAGGCAGGAAGGGTGTCCACGGAGGCAGGGAGAATTCATGGATGAGGAAGGCGTGGGGCTAAGAGAAGACAGATAAATTCACTTTCTACAGGGAGATGTTATCAGCTAATGCACAAAAGAAAGATGCAGAAACAGCAGCCTACACATGCTTCTTAGTGACACAGACAGAACTAGGGAGCAATTAACCCAAAGAGCTGAAGACACAGCATCTGAGGAGGTGGGCAGCGCCCTGTTCTTTCTGCTTGTAAATTTTATAGAGCCATCTGACTGCTGAACACTGCACATTTTTGTGTGTGTACAAGTTTGTGTGTGTATGTGTGTATACTCGTGTCTGCTCATAAGTTTGATACAAAAAGAAATAAATCAAAGAATTGATAAATGACATGATGTCAAAGGTTTCCTTCCATTTCCAAAGCTCTGGGATTAGAGTGAGTTTTCTACTGGGAGTGGGCACAACAACAGTAAACATGTTAATATTTCACTTCCCAAATAAGATTAGACCAGGTCCCAGAATGCTGCCTACTCTCCACCCACTCAGTTGCAAGACAGACAACATCCAGTAACAACAGTTGTCTATAACATCCGGTAACAACAGTTGTCTATATAGGCACCAATCCAGATGCACCCACAGATAATAAAAGAGAAAATGGCTTCTTGCAGATTAAATGCTTAAATACTCAGAAACATTCTTAAGGCTTGATGTGAAAAAGAAAAGAGAAACATCACCATCTTTTCCCAAGTAGCAATCGGGGTAGACATTTCCATTTTAGTCAAACTATTTTTTGAATAAATAAGTCCCAATTGTTTTAATTCTTCTGTGACATTCCAAACACTCCCTTTCAACATGGGGCAGAAAGATAATGAGCTTTTTTCTATCATTTACATATTTTATCTTTTCTTATCATAGAAAGCAGACAGTTAATTGGTTACTATTACTTTAGACTGGGAGTTTATCACCACCTTCCATTCTATATTGAGTTTATTTAAGTCTCTGGATCCTCCCATGAATAAAAACCCAAAGTAGGCAGGGATTGTGGGTGCATTTGGCTTACAGAGGCCAGGCTGGGACAGATCTCTGAAGTTAGTGACTCTGGGTGGCAGGCATTCCACCCCTCTTCCCAGCCCCCTAACCCAGTGATCAACTAGTCATCTAAACCAAGAAGACATTTGTGTAGTTCACCCCACAGATAGCAGTAAGACTAAACAGGAAATGGATCTACTTTATTCTTATGTTGGGAGAAATTATGTTGGTTCCTCTTCCTGTATATTTGTCAGAGAAACCAAATTTAACTCAGTCTTCAGGCAATATCCGGCACTGGAAGCCCCTGGATGGAGGGGAAGTGGTTGGACAGGTAACAAGAATTCACTCACCATGGAGTGCAAGCTCAGACATTCATCACTCACTACTGCAGGACATAAGAACTACATACATTAAGGGAATATGACAAGCAGGCCACTGGGGACCACGTCAAAGAGAAGCTAAGGTACTGGGGGCAGCTGGAATGGCAGGGATTACCCTGGTCTGCTGCTGCCCTCTGAAAGACCACATGATCAGGAACTGTGCAGGGTAGGAAGTTAACATGTATACTCTCAGCTTCCGCAAAGGATCCAGCCAACTGTCAGGTAGACTAGCCAAATAGATTCAAAACGCCAGGACCAAGAGCGGGGTTTCTAGGGCCCAGAAGGCCCAAAGTAACCCTCACATTGAACAAAAGAGGCAGTGAAACCCAAGGGGATTAAAGAATTTCTCTGTTTAGCTACAACCAAGGACTTCAGATGAAGGACAGTCAAGGGCAACTGGGGAGCAGAAAAACATTTTGGTCCTGAGCTGGGACACAAACTTGGTAGTCACTTAGTATTTTTGCAACTAAACCTGAATCAAGGGACCAAGGTTCTGTTCTTAACATAATCTGCAAACACAGGCATTTTGTTATGTTTTGTATTTCAGATAACATATCATGCACTAAATCCCCGAAGGAGCCTGGATGTACCACAACTACATCATAGAGTTT